CGGCACTTGGAACTGCTCCTATGAACAGTAGTAAGTTAATCAAGGCAAGAAATGGGGCTGTTTTCAGATTCCCAAGGGCCCAGCAATAGTGTTTCTCAGTGGCTAGAACTAAGGCATAGGCCGTCGTTGAACCCCCACATTCTAGCAAATGGGGGAACCAGGCCCCTAATGGCGGTCACCTTTCCAAGCTGGGGCTGAGCCAGACCCGGCTGCACCCTGCGCAGGGCAGCGAGAAGGCCGCTTGATGTTCTCACTTGTTATTCATCCACTCACTGGTCATGGGGGCTGCTTTGGTAAGTGCAGGACCAGCTCCAACTGGTCCTCTCCTGTGTCTAACCAAGCCCAGAAACACAGTGTCGTTGCCCCCCCCCCCGCCCCCCCCCCCCCCCCCCCCGCCCGCAAGGAACCGTGAAGAACCCGAGGCCTGGGTTCTGAACACCAGAACCCTCTCAGAGCCGAGGTTCACTGTCCTGGACGACAGGGCTGGAACCCTTAAGTCTTGCCTCAAGCCCTGCATCCAGGAAACAGATTTGAGCCCCGCCTCCTGTTGACTCGAAAACAGAGCAGCAAGCCTTTCTGGGTAACACTTTCGACCGTTATCTAAACTATACAGCGGTAGAGAAGTCTGCCTGCTCTTGTATTTTTGGAAAGTGTGCCCTAGGATTAATATGTCTTTCTTACATGCTTGAGAGAATTCACTGGTGAGTCCAACTGTGTCTGGAGTGTTTTTTGTGAAAAGTTTTTACTTTCAAATTCCATATAATAAATAAGGATAGCATTTAAGGAATACAGGGTTACTTGGATTTTTTATTTCTTCTTTGGTCAGGTTTGGTCATTGGTAAGGTTCAAGGAATTTCTCCGTCTCAACTTTAGTTGCTCCAATAGTCTCCTGCTTACCCTCAGGACAGGGAAAGCCAACACCACTTTCCAAGGTGAGCCTGGGTAGTCTGTCGTCTGTGCTTTGATCCCCATCAGTACAGCTGCAGGTTTATCAGCTTCACTGCTCTTATCCAAGGACCAGCCTTCTGTGTCATGGATGTTCGCTGCTGACCTGGGCAGAACATCAGGGCAGTCCTTGGGCTCATCCCATGGCTCCTTCCTTTCGAGAATCTGCATCCTTCACTCCCTGTTGTCTCCCAGCTGAAAATAGTAAACTCATATCCTTTGTCTAGTTTTCTAGTGGTTTAGAGTGGAAGAATGAGTTCTGTAGGAATTATTCCTTCATGGGCAGAAGCCGAAACAGACTTTCAGCTGCACCCTCACTCAGTCCTCTTAACTATTAGAGCAGTTAAGTTTGGCGTTCAAGTATTGAAAAGACATTGTCTCCTAGAGCTTATAGCAATAGGGCAGTGGTTCTCAACCTTCCTGATGCCGCGACCCTTTAATACAGCTCCTCATGTTGTGGTGACCCCCAATTTCATGGTTACAAACTGAACATAATTAAAGCATAGTGATTAATCACAAAACAATATGTAATTATATATGTGTTTTCCAATGGTCTTAGGCAACCCCTGTGAAAGGGTTGTTTGACCTCCAAAGGGGTCGCGACCCACAGGTTGAGAACCGCTGCCTTAGGGGGTAGCGTGGTCTTAGTAAATTTCAGTTCCACCTCATCACCAGGGCACAGGAGGTGCGCTCCCTCTGCTCTACACTTGTGGCTTGTGGGTTCAGGCTTTGCCCACTCCCGCCCACCATGCCTGCACCGCCTAGAAGCCACAGCCAGACATGGGTTGGCTCTCAGAGGAAGAGGGCATGTTCTCTCTATATGACACTTTTTATCAGCAGTAAAACACTTGTCATGTTTGACATGAATCAACCATGTAGAAGTCAGTATGTTTTTATGTGCCTTTTTTCTCTCCCAATTTTCAGATGGTGAGCTAGTATTTAAAAAAATCCAGGGCCCATGTGGTTGCTGCATTCAAAGAACTTCAGTTCAGGATTAAAATAAATTTAAAGCTAATTCCAAATAAGCCTTGAAGGCTATGTAAAGGGTCAGTTGGTTACCTAGAGAAACCCGTCCTGCATCCCACCCTTCCCCCAGGTCCCCTCATCTCTCCATGTTCCAACTTCTCCCTATTTTCGACCTACAGTTTCCCTTTCCTCTCTTGTCTCCCCTATTTTCCTCTTTTACATAAATTCTTTATCTCCTGTTTTAGGCTCTCTCCCCACTGGTAAAGCTGCTGTGTACAATAGGGCACAGGGAAGTGTCTGTGTGTGTCGTAAAATATGTGAATAATCACACGTAATTTTTTTTCTCCTGTTACACTGATTTCTATGTGCATCTTTTCTGTTAGTCTCCCAGGAAAGAGATCTGCAAACAATGTTTGGGTTTTCCTTTCCTTCACTGTAGTGTATTATAGCATTAAAACAAATTAAAAAGCCTTTAGAAAGTAACAATTGTTCGACTTACAACCACTTGCACTAGTTACCCAGTTCTTTAAACTTACATTTACAATGTTTTCCTTTTATTAGAGTAACATACTTACAATTTCAAAATTCAAATAGTATTTCTAGATTTCTAACAAAAAAATAGCAACTTCCCACACCACACATTCCCACCCCAAATTCCTTCCTTAACTATGAAGTTTCTGATGTGGTGTCTTTCTTTTCCAGTTGTAGGGATTGCCTGTGGACATCCTAACCTAGCAGATTAGGGCTAGGTTTCCCCCCACACACACGCCCCTTTTCCTAGACACTGTTAGGTCAAAGGAAAATCACTTTCTCCACCGTCTAAGTTCTTCTGGCTGAGCTACTAGTCAAATTCTCGTGAGGCGGATTAATACGCAGAGTGGATGATGTGGGGGTGCCATAAGAATAGGAGACCCAAAGGTGCATCGGTAGTTGAGGTTTATTTGCCATTTTGAACAAAGGAGGAGGCAGGGGTGTGGGATTTCAAAGGGGAAGCTGGTCATTCACCGGTAGAGGAGAAAGATTAAACGTGGTAAACACATTCTTTATTAGGGTGCTGAGGGGGTGCTCTGCTGCTCTGAGCAGGTTTTTCTACCTGGATCCCTTCAGGCAGCGAAGGGGAGGGCCAGAAGTTCTTTCTGGGTCTTTTGTTCCTTAACAAATGGCTTAAAATCAACATCCCAGAAAGCATATTTTGGGGTGGCAAAACTTTGGTCCCCCTCAATACACGTTTATGAATACAGATAAAATCACCTCCCATTTCTCAAAAAATACTTATAGCATCCTTTTGATTAACTTACCATTCGCTATTTACCTTATTAAATTGTGTAATCATTATTGATAACTGAGACCTATGCTATTTATGTGTCTATTACTTATTGTCACCAAACTCTACAGATCTTTTGAAATATTCAAACACATCAAGTATTTGCTGGGTCACACTTTTCCTGGAGTCATGTCTCCAGGGCCTCCTGCTCCCATCCATATGGTCCTCAGCCTGCATCCTGGGGCCTCCTGCTCCTTCTCCATCCGGTTCCTGCTCTCCAGGCCCCAGAGGGTCCTTTCTTGACTTCTTCATGTTGGAGCATGTCCTCCAGCATGCCTCTGGAATGAAGTATTTGGTGGGTAATATTTTTGAGCTGCATGCCTGAAAACATCTTTATTCTCGCTCCCACTTAACTAATAGTCTCATTGAGAGTAGAATTCCATATTAAAATTAATTTCTTCAGAATTTTGAAGAAAATGCCTCATTGAATTTCAGCTTCCTGAGAGTCGATGGAGAATTTCCATGCCTTTCTGATTTCCAATGCCTTAAGTGCGGCCCTTTTATTTCTTCTATGGACGCTTTCTAGGTCTGACAGTTTGTGATGATGTGCCCTGGTGTGGACCTTTTCAGGTTTGCTGTGCTGCGCATTTGGTTTGACCTTTCTACATAAGAACATGTCTTTACATCTGGCAAGTTTTCTTGAATTATTTCATAAGTAATTTCCTCATTTTCTCTGTTCTCTTTCCTGTAATTGCTATTTTCAGATGTTGAACTTCTTAATCTTGTAATTTTCTTATGTTTTCTCTTTTCCCATGTTTTTTTCTTTTTGTTTTATCGTCTAACATATATCAATTTTATCTTTTTATCAACTTTTACACTTAAGTTATTACTTCCTGAATTTTCAAGAGCTCTTATTTTCTGAATGCTTTTATATATCTTTACTTATTGATGTAATATTGTCTTCAGAGACTAGATAATTAAGTTTTCCATAACATTTTTTCTTCCAGTTTTTTTCTTCATTTTCCCCCTGTCTTCCTCGAATGTCTGTTGACCTTTGGTCATCTGTGTATAGTGAGGAGGGGGCAGAAAGGTTTTGTGGAAGCTCTGCAAAGTGGATGAGGGCTGCCCAAGGGCAGGACTCACTTAGCAACGCGAGGGGTGTTGGGCACCTGCCTCCCTTGCCTCCACTGTCTGTGAGTTCAAACCTCCTGCTCCCGAAGTCTGGATCCTCCCTCACGTCACCGAGTCCCTACTTCCATCTCTCCTAGGTTTGCTCTGTCTGTCTAGAAGTCCTCTTCTCATCCCGTCTCCCGTTCCATCCTTCCTCCTGGCTCAGTTCACACGTTATTTCCTTACCACCTTCTTCATCACACGTTACAGGCCTTATTCTAGGCTTCGCTTGTTTCTTGTTTTCTAAACTTAATATTTGTCTCCCCAACCACCCTGTGCGCTCCGTAAGACCATCTCACACACTTCTTGGTGTAACCCTAGGCACCCAACCAGTAACAAGTGTGGCGCACGATTTGATTTTACTTAGAACAAAATATATCAACAGGAAATGAAAGCCTGGTATGCCAAATGGAGAGGTCTCTTCCCAAATTGTATAATGCCTGCATGTGGTGTCATTTCCATTCGCTAGTTCCTTGAGTGCTGGATCTGCGAGTGCTTTGGACTCCGCAGGAGCAACATCCCACCGTTTCCTGCTCCCTGGGGCTCGCGTTCCTGACACTGCGCACAGCGTGGGTTTGGGACGCACCCTAACTTGGTGCTATTGATAGCTGGTTTGTCCAAATAAATGAGATTGGTTTCATTTTTCTGCCATCACGCTTGGCTGCCAGGATGTTCTCTTGGCTGTAGGGAAATGGGTGGCGTTGCAGGCGGAGGAGGGGGGCTGTGCACAATGCGAAGGCTTTCTGGCCTCGGAGCCCCAGGGAGCTCGTCCCGAAGGTGAAATGAGGCCGAGACGTGGCCTCGAGTCCACACTCCATCGCTCGAGACAACGCGCTGCAGGACCAGGGTCCCGCTCACCTCGGCGCCCGCCCCAGTCACGGAGCCCCCAACCCGCGCCGGGAGCTGTCACAGCGCGGCCCGCGCGGGGACCCACAGCCCTGCTCCACGCCGCGGCCCGACTGCGGGCTGAGCGGGAGGCGCGGCGCCACGGCAGCGCCCGCGGAAAGCCGGGACCACAGACGCCGCTCTCCGCCGCGCCGCGCGGTCTCCCAGGCAACGGGGGCGGCGCCTGCGCACCTCGCTTACCCCACGCCTCGGCCCCGCCCCACGCCCGGCCTCCCTAATTGTACGGAAGTCTCCCAGCCCAAGCGGAAGTGCGCGAGCGGC